GAAAAATAAATATTTGATCTATTTGAGCCTTTATTCGTGTCCTCGTTAGAAACTATTGTAAAAAAGTTTACTTTTAAAAATGTGCTATTTGGTGCTAAAATAGCATTTCAACGTTGCTTCGCGCCGGCCGGTTTCGCTTGTTTATTTTGTTATTTATACGAACAGGCAATTACGGGTTAACGAGATAAGTGATGCGGTAACAAGATGCAGGTGCAGCTGCAATTTTAACACCTCAAATGAGACAGTTTTAAAATTATCCGACGGATTTTATTCTTGATATTAATATTGTATTTTGATTCGTATTTAATATTAAATGGAACACGTATTACGTTAGCAACATTTTAGTTGTATATTATATTCATTTAACAACGATACTTTAATTTACTTGATTACTTATCTGATTGCATACCTTAGTTTTTATAACATTAACCGAAAATAGTAAAACTAATTTTATCAGAGGGAATGCAATCCGATGTATGGATAAGATCGATTATAATTGGAATGGATATAATAAACGCGACTAAATGCCAAGAAAAGTGATAAGTAATGAGTAGCTAACTATTGGGAATGATCTATCAGTGATAAATAAGTAGATAATCATTCAATAGCAATTGGTACTATAAAATTGACTTTGTTTAATTCAATAGAATAGAATTTTTGTGATAGCTACGCTTGTAGCCAATTTATTTCATACGTGTTTGCGTCTACCGCTAACCGGGAGCCCGCTGGCCGCAGTGCGGCTCGTTAGACACTGTCTTATGACATTAACGTTCTGTCTAACCGGTATGCTACATTCAAGGGTCCAATACATTTTCAGTAATACTTTTTGGCCTGTTCATCTTCACTTTTACGAAAAGTTTAAAGATCTACCCAATTAAACCTAAAAATATATTTTGAATAGCAATGAAAGTAACAAGTACTTGAGATTGAGTTCTTAATCAATCGGCTGAGCAGTTGGCTAGTAAAACACAGCAAAATTCAAGTTAGCTTCAGGCAAAAATCAATTTCTGATTTAGTATTGTCTATCAAAACTAAAATCTATATCTTCCACCTGAGAATTTATATTTAAGCAACGACGGTGAGTACAGATTCCGTAGTTTAATGGCGTTCTATTGTCTGACCGGTAGAGTTAACTTGATTAGTGCTGACTTGCACTAAGCTGTCTCGACGCGACGTGCCATGCATCCGTGATGAGTTTACAGTAAAAATAACCCCTTTCAGAGATATTTAAATTAAGAATTCACCGAAAAAATCAGACAAAACATAACTTGCTTTTTTTTCTTCGTCTTCTTTCATTTTATATGGCTTTTTTTGCGTTTATCGTAGTTTCTTAACCATAATTAAGGAAGCTAGCAGTAGTAGACTAGTAGCACGGTGGCGTAGTAGATAAGCGCCGCGGCCTGCGATCATTGTTGCTAAGTCACTTTCGTAAAGGTCAGTCATAGGACGGGTGACCAAAAAAAATATCTTGAGTTATTCCGTGCTTCGAAAGGCACGTTAAACTGTTGATCCCATCAAATACCATCCAATCAGCATTAGGCCAGCGTGGATGGTCATGACCCGTCCTCCTTATCCAACCATAAGGAAGACCAGAGCCCCTGCTGTGGGGACGAAAAAAGGGCTAACGATGACCCAGGTATCATCCTTATTAATTGTTTTTGAGGAGAAAAATAATTTAATTTAGCTAGATAGTGTGATGGTGTGGTATCCTTAAAAGGGTTCAATTTTGTCTTTTGAGATACTTTTGAGGCACAGTGCTTAAAATATATATGGACTTGGAACAATGAATTTAATTATAGTTAAGACTAGAGATAATCTCAACTTGCAGTCAGTATCTACAAGAATCGACATCTTTAACCCATTAAGAGCTTCGAACAAACTCTTCAATTAATATAGTAATAAACTGCAATCGATAAACGCTCTTAGCAGTCGCTGTTAATTTTAACGATTTCGTTAAGAACGTTTAAATGCTAATGCTATTAAGCTTACACTTTGTTCTATCGATAATGGTTGAAGTTAAAAGAAATATATTTTTTTCACGTAAATATGTTCTATCGATCATGGTTGAAGTTTAAAGAAAGTTTTTTTTCACGTAATAATAATACGCGGCACAAAATCTAGTGTCTGAATATTTTGTGATAAACTATGTATCTATTACGATTCAAAATTGTTGTATGTAAATAAATAAAAATATCCTCAAACCTGACAGGTAAAGTGTCCAGAATCGTTTTATCTTTGAAACTTTAGATTGAATTGTTTTCACTAGATTGCTTCTTGGTTACGGAATTTTACCTTTAGTAGCGTAGAAAACTTTTTTCTTACTCTTGTCTATAAGTATATATATTAAAATTTGTTAATTAGGCCAGCAACGTATATTGACTGAAACACAATACTAAAAGACAATGAGTCCACCATCTGTACAGTCGTCATTACCCTTAGCCCTTTTACGTCCCCACTGCAGTGACTCAGGCCTTTCTTATGGATGGTTAAGGAATATGAGCCATGCATGACCCTCCATGCTGGCCCAATTCGGATTGGAGGGTATTAGCGACTGCAAACGCAGCCGGGACCAATGGCTTAACGTGCACGAAGCACTGGGTAGCTCGAGTTAACAAATTTTTGATTACCCATCCCGTGACTGACCCTTGCGAAAATTGCTTAACAACAACGATCCTGGGCCGCGCTTATTCACTGCGCTACCGAGCTACCATCTGTACAGTATTATGTTCTAATAGAAGTGATACGAGGGTCAAACTGAAAGTTCTTAGAAAATCAAAAACTGATTACATTAGCCAGTTATTAGTTTTATTATATCTTTTCAAAATATTGTCCATTCACGTCAATACACCGCTGCATGCGATGGAACCACTGGGAAAAGCACTTTGCCCACTCGTCCTTAGGGGTCTCTTCAATGGCATCGCGATACGCAGCCACCGCTTCTTCAGCATTCATAAACCGCTTTCCTTTAAGTTTTTCTTTAATTTTTGGAAATAAATAAAAATCACAAGGCGCGAGGTCGGGGCTATACGGCGGGTGACCCAGTAATTCAACGTTTGATGTCGCCAAATAGTCGATCGTTCGCTTGGCGGTGTGCGACGAGGCGTTGTCGTGGTGAAGGAGGATCCCACTGCGAGGTCGTTTCTCTCGAACTTTTTCCAAGACAAGTGGCAAACAATTGGTAGTGTACCATTCTGCAGAAACTGTTTTTTGATCCTCTAACACAATTGTTGCAAAATGACCTATCCTTCCAAAGAACGAGGCCACCATTTTTTTTCCCGCACTTCGATCTCTCTTCACTTTAGTTGGCAACTCCTCGAAAGGAAACACCCACTGAGCAGATTGTCTTTTGGTTTTAGGATCATAACAGTAAATCCAGCTTTCGTCACCTGTTAGTATGTCGAACACAGCATTTGAGTCACCTCCGTTAAATCTTTCAATCATTTTACCACACCAATCCACACGATGGAGTTTTTGAGCCTCAGTCAAATTATGAGGTATCCACCGGGCGCAAAGCTTCCTGACCGCTAAATGTTCGTGGAGGATTTTGTGCACTTGACTCATACCGATGCCTAAGCTTGTCCGAATCTGTTGATAGGTCACTCTTTTGTCAGTCTCTATCATACGCCGCACAACACAGATGTTATCTTCAGTCGTCGCCGTAAAAGGCCGTCCTTCACGTAAATCATCAGTGAGATTAGTGCGACCACGTTTAAACTCATTAAACCAGTTGTAAACAGTCGCACGAGATGGGGCTTCATCGTGAAAGGCCAATCGTAGTCTATCATAACTTTCTTGTTGACTTAAATGACATCGAAAGTCATAAAAAATCATTGCACGAAAATTTTCTCGTGTTAAATTCATGATGACGTGACACAGACAATTTTCAATTTGCCGCCAAATCGTAAAACAAATGACAAATGAATGAAATATATACTCAGTAATATTGGCAAAGAGTTATATTTTCAAATTTTAGAATTATTTTTTTATTATATTGTTTATAAGTGGCCAGTTCTAAGAACTTTCAGTTTGACCCTCGTATAACTGTAAACTAATGAATGAACAATATCAATAAGAAGCTCTCTAGATTTCATTTTAAACAATGTTTATTACAATAAACGAAAGTGTTTTAACAAAATCTTTGATCTTCCTAAAGTGATTTAAGAGTTACTGGATTTTGCTAATTGGTCTCCTAATGAGACAGCCGACGATCTCTCTAACGAGACATTAATCTTACCCCTGCTTATCTAAATCACTATCACCTTAAAAGGATGCTTTGTATTTGTAAATGCTAAGCTTGTTGAGGATAAATCAATACGCGATTTTCAAGTATATAGATGCGAAACTACAGATATTTATATTTTTGTGAGAGAACGAAAATATTAACAATAATACAGGTGACTAATAGTTAACAGATCCATTTAAAGTTTATTTTTGTATATAATAAGTATAGTAGTTGTTTTGACTTCTAAACATAAACGATCCGATTATTAATCGTTTATATTTAGAAGTGTATAACAAGAATCTGTCAGGATGTGATTATTGAAAATTGGTTTATGTCCTTGTAAACTGATCTGCCCACCCTGTTCCACTTAAAAAATAATGGTGATCGAAATTCTCGGATAAAAATCGCTTAGGCTTTAAGCAGCATATTGTTGACTTTTTCTCTTTCTTTACATCTTGGTAGTGAGCTTAAAAATCTTTGCGATAGGGCGGGCAATTTACAATTGACTTTTTAACTTGTTTAAGTTCCCGCCCATTAATCAGGGTGCAATAACCAAACCATCGTATATAATGTTTCAGTTTGCACAAGTCTTTGGCGAGACCCTATACTATATACATTATCAGACCTGTCGACCCTGGACATGAAGGATGCTATTCTCTTTCGCTGAATAGCACTAAACGAATCGATATGACTTTAAGCATTGCAATAACATTTCAGTCTCATTAGATGTCGAATGATGTTATTATAAGTTACTCGTAGGCCATCATGTGCTTTTTATTCATAAACGTCTAGTTTCTTGTATTTGTGCCCTGTCTTGCTTAACGACCACGTCATACTGCCCTATAACCTGTTTAATGCTATAAACTAGCTTTTTTAAATGAACCAATTAGACACAAATAGTATAACCAAAAGTCTCTATTTAAACTCACCTTGCCCACTCCTGTGGTCTCTTTCACACCTAGCCGTCGTAGTAGCGCTGGTGGCGGCGGTGGTGGCGCCCGGTGTAATGCAGCGCTGAAACCTGTCGCTGTCGGCCCATCCTCGTCCCGTCGACGTCTCTCGCGATGTGGAGAGCTCCCTGTGCATTTTGTCGTTGACGTTCTGAAACAAAATACACATGAAATGAAACCTTGTTGTTATGGAAGTGGAAATGCCTAATGCCTAGTGATGTCCCTCACTCGTGCCTCATTTGATTCGCTCATCGCGACAAAACGAGGAACTCGTATACAACTTTGAACCAGCTAATTAAGCTTCTCACTTTTTGAGGCCTCAAGCACGAGGTGCAAACACAGATATCACACCTCACTCAACAGAATAGTGAGTTGAGTTGCACTCCCTTAATCAAGGGAGTGACTCGGTTTTATAAGTTTGATAGAACGAATCAGTTTGTGAAAGCAAGGCGAAGGGAGTAAAAATAAAAACAAATGTAATGTACCTAATTACCTACAAGTAACAGTCACAAAAATATCTATTGCGTGACGAAATAAATTATTACAATAAAAAGGCATACATTCTACGTGAGAAAATATTCTTACAACAACTGGTTTTATAATAATATGTATTTATTAAAGATTTCAATATTCGATCATTTATTAATCACAAATGTTTCTCTCGGCTCGGCCGGTGGCGCTTGCAATGTAGCAACCGACTCCCACCCTTATTTGCCTTACACCTCGCTACATATTATGCGTTGCGTTTATTTAATTTTCTTTATCTCACCTTAAATGAGGGGTACCTCGTGAGTGACCTCGATTTGAGATTGAAGATTCAATCAACGTGTGAGTGAGTTACACAACACTACTTATGCCTACGTATTCTGTGGCACCATCAGCGCACAGTCACTAATGATTTATTTTAAACCATTTCATCATTTTAACGTTAAAAAACAAACCACCTCAAGAACTGAACGTAGAAATAAGACGACGTAGCGATTCATATTTGGATGGTGCACTCTTTTATTCGAAAAAAAATTTCAAATTTACTCTATATAATCCTATAATTTTAGGTATATTTATTATTTTTACCATAAATAATATAATATATTTTATTTATGTACAAAATCAATAATTAATGATAAGTAACTTAGAAACATACTCCGTATAAAAAGTTTAAACCCGTAGGTACTACATAAGAAAGTGCGTAAAATAGTTCACAGTGGACCCATTGAAAAACGATTTCCTGTAATTGAAAAGGGCAAAAAACATTAATATTGTTGACCAGCCCCCTCCGGGCACAGAAAGGAGTCGAACTGGAAATAAATGAGCTTTACGTGATGTCTCCGGCGACCTTTTTACATTTTTCAAAAATTCACTCCAAGTCAGTCAGTTTAAGACGGGACTAAGGGCATGTTCAGATGAAATTGATGTTAAATACTATTTGTCTACTCCATGGGTAAACAAAACGTAACAAAAAAAAATATTTTGTGTGTAATAAAATAAAACAAAATATAAAAAAAATAGTAATTGGTGCCATTTTGTTAGCAAAATAAATCACTACCGGGCTATGAGATGTTTATTACCGTATAAAAACATATTTGCATTTATTTAAAGAAAAAACGTTTTGCGAAATACTGAATCGTGTTTTCATAAATACGCAGAAAGGTTTTATTCAACTTGAGTCCATTTTGAAAAATACAATGCGCTGCTCCATAATTTTAAGAAAGTGTTAAAGGTACTCTGGCATCATTATATGAATTAAATAAAATGTTATTTCGAAAATAGTGTAAGTTTTAAACGACCTTTAATTTCTTTATGTGAAATTATAAACTATAATTGTCGTAGTTTATGGTACTTAGATAGAGACAAATTTTAAATAATTTCATTTGAAATGTATTTCTAACTATCATTTAAAGTAAAAAACATAGCCAGCAAAACCTTGTTAGAGTTTTAAATAAGTTTTTTAATAGTTAAAATACCTAGGTAATAAATGTGATTTATATATTTTATTAATATTTAATGTAACATATATAAGATAATACAACATAGCAATGCAAATTTATAAAAATAAGATGTTTTTTTTAATGTAATATTTACAATTATTTAATTTTGTGTGTTTTTTTCAGCAATATATGTTATCTCGAAACTCACACACAAATACACATACCTAGCTATATATTCATGTTTAGGTGACATAGTCTTGAGTCATCGAGGGAGCTCAAGGTGCGAAGTGATGGATGGAGTATACGTGACGTCACAAGACACCTTCCCTATTATATTTCGACAGCGACTTTAAAACTGATTCAAAATTTTCGTTTCGCTTTATAATTATTAAATTTATCACAGCTAGATTGCAAACATTAAATTCGAAATTATTTTAGCATAATGATAAAAAATCAGAAAGATTGTCACTAGATAACACGTATACAACAATGTAAAGGAATTAAGTAAATATAAGACAATAACACATTTAATGCTTAGATCCCAAATTAAGCACCAAAATAACTTGTATTATGGAAATATCAAACAACGAAGGTAACACTACAATATAGAAACCTCTTTTTTAAGTTTAAGTTAATATAAGTCGTTAAAAAATAGTACTAAACACACATATAATAAATATATATATATATCATGTTAATTAGTTTGTTTTAAGTTTGGTTTGGTTGTTAAGTAACTTTCGTATTGGGCATTCATGATGGGTGACCAAAAATTTACTTTCATCGGAAGGTCTGTAGTTGTTAATACCCATCAATCCGCACTAGGCACGCGTAATGGGCCCATTCTCTTTATTCCATCTATAGGGAAAGCCTGAGCCCCATTTTTGGATGTTTGGGACATTAATAGGTTGTTGTTGATGAAAAAGCTACATAATTTATCAAAATTGATTCATAGATTTGTGTCATAGAATAACATATTCAAGACATTCTCTTAAATCATTCAAAAAACAAAACATGATATATGACATATTCACAATAGTTTTTAATTTTTACATCGTAAAAGTTTATATATCAATTCCAAACAGGTTGCATATCAATATTCAGCCACCAATACTGCATATAATTCGTCAAATTCCCTGTCAACCGGCGAACGTCTCCAGGCGTCCTAAGCCCTGATGGATGGCGCTTACGTGACGACTCACGACACGGCCCGTATTTTATTTTAATGCCGTGACGTTACGCCGTCTCACGAGAGGCTTAAAATTGAAAATTCTAGCCGCCATATTGGAAATGGCGCATTCCAGATGCGATTAAGAAATGTGTCTTTTACGTTTTCCTTGCGCAGAATATAGTGTAAAACTTTTGTGTTATGATATTTTTGGTTGGATGTCTTTGGTGAAGAAAAACTGAATTATTGCAGTAAAATTAAGTTTGTCAAAATATTAGTTAACCAAAATTTTTATTATAAAATTATCAGTTTTAAAATTTCAGGATGGTGAAAAACAACGATTTTATATTTATTTTGGCGAGTGTCGATTTTAGAATAATGGAGTTTCTTCGTCTCATTTTGAATTCTTATGGCTATATTACACCACAAAGTACACAGGCATATAATCATATATTTAAAATTTTAAAATACGGTCGTCAGAAAAGATAAATAAGTTTACATTGCATTTGAGTGACAACAGAACGGTTGAAATCTTGTTATAATAATAAACAGAACACATCTTATAAGTATCCAATAATAATAATCATATTTTCAATCTACGAGGTCCAACAGTAATTGCAATGTCGTTTTACAAATTCAAAGATAAATACTGTAATACCAGTACAGTTTGTAATACCAGTACAGTGTAATACCAGTACTGATTTATCTTTGATTTTGTAAAATGACAACGAGAACAACTGTCTGTGAGTGTTGAGATATCGACAAATAACAATACAGGCCCTAACCGAAAATCTATTACTCAGCTTAAAATAACTTCTGTATACATAATATATATTTATAAGGAAATCTTACCGTTTCAAAGGAGGCCCGGGCCGTATGATTTCACGGCCCGCCGGCCATATTGAAACAGCAATCTGCAAAGGTTGCCTCTTGACATTTTGATACTCCTCAGACCGTGATCCTATAGTATACGATGATTTATTATATTCAATGTTTCTTTATTGTTTATCTATACTAATATTATTGATTGTTTGTTTGCATTAAATAAGCTCGGACACTACAGAAATCAATTTTAATAATTCTTTCACCTCCACAAAACTAAATCATACGCGGCTGATATAAGTTGTAATTTAAGCTGGCAAAGTAGCGGATAAATAGCTAGTCTTTACTAAATATCTGATGAATTTTAGCCTAGATTTGTCACCGCTAGAAGTTTTTGCTCAATAATAAGCTTATGTTTCTAAAATGTCAATTGTTTCTAATAAATATTTTGTACAACAAAATGGCGAATTGGGCACTCTTATACGCTTTATAATAAAATATCCCGACTAATTTATTTTTTACTTTAGATTACCCGATGAGGAGTAAACGATGTATAATTAATTCATATTCAAACACGATTAATATTTTATCAAACTGTTTGTAAGCTTTCATTTAAAAAAATAACATTAAATTATATTTACGTATTGTTTGTTAACTCACTTGAAAAGTTCAAAGCATAAACTATGGCGACTGACTTATGGAACTTTTTAATTTATTCACAATATTACTCTATTGTCACGGCTCAACTACAAGCATTGCGTGACCCCACAACTACAATTAACACTCGTAAAACGTTTACGTCGATTCTTTTGTATTTTCCTTCATTACAGTTTAATGTAGCTAAATGGTGATATAAACGTTTTATTAGACTTCTTGATTTGAATTATGCGACCGTTATACAACAGTGGAGGGTTGAGAGTTCAAACCGGAACACATAAGTTATGGACGCGTGTTTTTTGGACGTGAAAAATGGAATTTGTTGCCTGAATATTGTATGTATGAATACGTAAATCTTGTAGCATATACTATAATACGAACAAGGACTAATATTGGTATGTCTGTCCGTCGGGTACATTAAAAAAATATATTATACACGTGTTATTTTTGCGTAATCTATAAATTATGATACATTGAGTTGAAATCTACAGCTTTGTAGATTTTCTACATAGTTGTGATGTATTGAGCTCCCAATATCCAAGTATGATATCTATTATATAAACCAGTTCATAGCCAATTGAAGCAAAAAACATACGCATCTAACATTTTTCTATTATCTAACCGATAGCTTAATTTGTGTGTTTTTTAACTAGGCATCATTCTTGTTAATTTATTTATTATTCTAAGAAAGTTTTTAACACGTTTGAGTTTAAGACTTATGTATTAATTACTTTATATTTTGTGTAAAACTGGAGCTCAAAATTGGTTTCAATATAAATCTGTGTGGCAGTTCACTAGATTCCCTGCGGTCATGGATGATGATTATTTTTTGACGTTAAAAGTGGTTCTCGGTATGAAGCAGTGGGTAATGATAATGATGGTGATATGTGATATTCGGTGCGGTCGGTCATCTTCTGGTACTTATTTCAATCCCATAACATTGCATAAACTTGCAGTGTCTTGAACTTTGGACTTCATGTCAGCCGCCTCCTTCCTCTAACCATTAATTTCATTAAAATAAATAAAGTGCTTTGGGGTAATCACGAATGCGGGGAAATTACAAAAATGATATTAATAAATTATTTTCATCTATTAAAAATATTTTTATTTTGTCAACTTTATCAACAGTTGATAAAAAAACAATATCTTATTTGGTGGTAATTCGTCATTTTCGATATTTCCTTACTCTCGGTATTACCCCAAAGCAATAACTGTCAATATAGAATAAATATGTACCATCATGTGTCATTTTCTACACATGATGTACATATTTATTCTATCAGGGAAAGGTAAAAACATTAATTTGTTGTCTTATTAAATGAAAGATATTGAAATATGACTATATAATAATCGATAAAATGAAAGATTTATCACGTGATTACAAGTATTGACGTTCTAATCGACTTGGACATTTGCGTATACTATAATTAGATTGTGAACAATGTGATACCAACTGGAACTATTCAATAAATAACTTAACTCGTATAGAACTCGGAACAATGCCGCAACTATGTACGCGGGTAACTTTTAAAACATTCGCATCGAACACGAATCGGTACGAAATAAAACGTTATTATTATAAACCTACTCCGAACCTTACAGTTTCAGCGGAAACTCTACGTTCCGCTGTAGTTAGCGGAATATTAAAATATTGTACCCAAAACTTCTGGCACGCCATTGAAAGTTTCGAATTCAAACATTTCTGCTCCTACACCTTTTATTTCTATGGCTAGACGAATTTTTTTGCCGGCAACACTATGTGGCAGCCAGCCAGAAACCACCAAATGTAATAACACCCCCGCCCGATTTGAAGTGCACATTAAATTCGACCTTAAGCCATTGAAATAAGGAAATGATCTCGTTACTGTAACTGTCCGATTTAAGGCGGCGAACCAGTATTGTTTGGTAAAATGATGGCAATAAATATAAAGAAGGCCTTTAACTGAGCTATCCAATAACGTTGAAGCGAGCTTTTCAACTGGCTCCAGGATATATTCGAAAAAGTTCTATTTTTTTTACTTTGGCTCTGTGCACGGTATCATTTTGCTTAGACTGCACTTATGTTAACATAAAATGACTTGTCGATAGAACAAATGGGTTGTATTTGCATCAAACATATTGTCATGGCACTGAAACAAAAAAGCCGTTATTGATATTTAAAACAAATAGATGTAATCTCTCCAAATAAATGTAACTTCATTTCAAATAAATGTAAATGTAATGATGTTCTCAGTGCTAACTTATGAATTAGCTCACACAAGGACACAAGGAAACATTAATCATATTCCACCATGGATATCCATATTCCACGATTGGAGATGCAGCTTGCTTGTAAAATTTGCAACGGGTTATTAAAAAAAAATTGCCTATTTGACTAATTTTTATGATAGTTGCTAATAGATGGAACGCGTAAAACAATGCTATTGTGATCCTATTTTAAGTTATACGAATTGATTGCATCCCTATGTACTAATGTTTTAAAGATTTGACTGTTTGTTTGTTTGCAACGAAGAGGCTACAAAACTACTGAACTGGTTTTAAAATTTTTTCACCTACGCGAACATACGCTATATTTTATCCCTATAAAGAGAAAATAAAGGGATAAAAATGGGAGTGGAACTTTTTATAGAGAATTAAATCGTTACAATAAATAATTGTTTATTAAATTTATCATTGTAATTATTATATCCGTGTTATGATATGAATCGATATCCAAATAAGTTCCTTAAGAACTACGCGGGCGAAACCACTGGCGGAAAGCATTGTAAAAGCATCTAAGCTTCTCTTTAGGTAGGTAAATAAACATAACACTCACAAACTCTCGTTCCAGGTTAATATACGACGGGTATATTTATAATTTCCCTGTTTTGCCATGGATACATTACACAAATGGCTCAGAGCCTCCGAAGTCACAACGCTGACATTCCTACACGCAACATGCCCTGTGAATATTTTATATGAGAAATTGCTAACATCCTGTTAGAGTTATCTTATAAGCTGAACAATTCTACTGTATTATGGAAGCGCTTGAATAAATCATGGGCTTTTATAATCTTATCTTTTAAAAGTGGAACGTGTTTGTATGTATCATGCAATATATATAATTAAATTGGTAGCATTTTGATATTTATTATAGATTAGTCCAATATTTCTTTTATCTCGATCCAGACTTCTCGGAGAAGTAAAGGATTAGCACAAAATACTAAATTGTTTTACCTTATGTAACATTATGTAATTATTTGTCGAAGTGGGTGGAATAATTCTAATGAAACCATTTGTATATGTAATACAATTAGGTGATGAGTCAGGGGTGACCGCATATCATATATAAACGCTCACTCTAAAATATCTAGCAGTTAAGGGCATAAACACAAGCGGTTTAAATTTAGTTGGAAACGGAAAATCGCATACATTGTAGATCCCGTTTCTATTCGAATAATGCGTGCGCTTGTATAGAAGGCTATGTGTTACATACGGAAAATATCAGACTGGCGTTTAATCGCTGTGCAGTCCGCCTTCGATAGCTACTGCTATTCCAGAAGAAAAACTGTATGTGGTTGTTTAAAAATTTTGACGAGAATAGCAGAGAGATATTGTTTCGATATATCTCACTCTCGACCCATTTGTTCATTTCAGTTCATTGTGCTTTGCGTGCTGGACTACTGGCAGGTAAATAGCATCATGTTGCTATCGTAAGTCTCAGACAAAATGTCAGTCGCTTGTATGCAGTCCGACTTTAATGTGTGTCATCCGAGGCAGTTTTAACTAATGCCGAGATTCGGAGCGGCAAATCTTGTGGCCCTAATTAAATCCACACGTAAATGAACTAGTCGAAGGTAATTAAATATTTCTGACGATTAAATTACGTTTGAGAATTTAGATGATGTTTATATTATTTTAACATGATTTTCTTCTTCTCGGAACCGTGGGCGTTTGTCCTTTTCGCCTACCATTAAGGCTTTGGATGTCATCATAAATAATGATAAGCCTATTAATGTCTCTAATTTAGGAGCAAAAGCTTTCATCATAGATAGAAATTCATGTAACTTTTCTTTAACTTCGTGATGAATTATTTGGAATTTTACTGAACTCAATCAGATCAAAAACCCTAATGCTCTCGTCGTCGTAAAAAAAGTCAAGAAGAAAACCACAGCCGTTTTAACATACAACGTAGCAGTGAAGGTAACTCATAAAACAGCGTATTAATAAAAGGACCGTCCCTTTGTGTACAAAACTCTTCATTAGAGAGATCATAGCGTTGTTGCGTGTGGAGTTGTTCCTTTCAAGGGTGGGATCGGGTTTTTTTTTACAAAGTTTCCATAGACCAAGTATCAAGAGGAAGCGGTTTAGATTAAAATAGAATTAATAAAACTTATCTAGCGCTTTAAACTTCATAAGTGTTAATCCGACTTTAATTTTAACCAAAATTCTCATTTTTTAAAATAATAATACACTTACAGACACGATTAACCGCCCACCTTCTATTTTTTCAATTCAAAGAAAGCCAATTTTAGACCATATTTTATGAAAGGAATGTTAAAAACTATACTTAAAGAAAAACAAACAACAGATATATTGGAAAAAAAAGTTTTATTACCAAAAACCGATTTTTAAAAATCTTCAATGAAAATATTAAAAGTTTGGTTTTGAAAATAACTAGACGCGCTGACGTCCATCCGGACCATTTATAAGTGTATACGTTATTAGGTATAAGTGTTTTATTAAGTGTTAGAGTACCCACTTAACAAAAAACAAAACGGTTGATAAGCCATAGTTGACGGGACCAAACAGGGTGATGAATGAAACAGATGGGTTGTTAATTGCGTCTGTGAGTGTATTTTGATGTCAATTTGAATAACACACTAGCGTCGAATTTACGAGTTGTTTCATTAGAGGTAAGATGATAATAATTATATGACACTTAAATAAATCAATATGAAGTTCAACTGTAGTTAGTCCAAATGAATGAATGAATAAAATATTATATATTCTACAGCTTTACAGTAATAAACAAAATATAAAGTATGCGGTACAATTGGTGACTAAAAAGTAATTTCTTCTAGATAACCTTTATGAAACAAACAGATAATATTTATTAAATAATAAATGGATTAAAAGGATTAGTCGATCTCTAGTCCAAGTCGATGAAGAGTTAAGGACAGTTCCTTTCAGTTCAAAGTAAAGTGAAATAGTAGATCATTTTTCTTTTTGCTTGTCGATAATAATGCACAATGAGTACAGACTCCTGTACTCTTAAAAACGACTTTCGATATATCGTAGACTGTTTCGTCATCTATTCTGCTCTAACTCATGTATTTTGAATATCGATATAGAATAGAAAAGAGCACGATGAAACTGTTAATACATCTAAAATTACACAGGTTTTATTACACAGTATTATATTTAAGCAAACGCCATTAGCTGATTACTTGCACCTCACATAATGAAAGGTATATCTAGCCCTAAACCATATACATATATATATATACGGTTCTGATGGAAAACTTTCGGTAAAGGGTATGGAATCTGTATTGTTAGAAAGTACCTATTAGTACGGACAAAAGAATAATTTGCGCGAACTGTACGTTGCTTTATGAGAGGTATTAATATTAGAGAGCGAACATTTACGATTTTGGGTGCTTATTGTTAGTATTTTATTGTATTATCTTGTTTCTAACAATACTATTTGCCTTTTATCAACAAATCTTTATTATTACGTTCTACATTTAATAAGTAATATGATTAAATTCATTTCCTATTAAAACGTAAACTTCCAACGCGTAACCATTTTAAAATAATAATGTTCCTTTATGAAACACTAGCTTGTTTTCCTACATATTGCGTTTGTTCCTTATAGCCTGTGTCATCCGCGTATGATGTAGTTTCTCGCAGGTGAAAGAATTTTCATGATCGGGTCAGTATTTCTGAAGATAACCCGATAAAAACTTACAGACGAGGGAAAAAATTAACAGTAAATCGTAGAATTTTAATTTACAAAGCTTAAAATAAAGAAACAGTATTCCTTTACAACAAAGTAGCATCTGCTTTAACTTCTTTAAAGGTACCTATCACAGATTGAAATCATTTTCTTGCACCCTTCCTTTATACAATACACGAATCACCATATGCGCTCACAGTAATGTTCTATACAAGAGGTGTATATCGCCACCTGTTTTTTGTAACCGTGAGTCCCTTTCGTTCGTCGTAAAGAAGATTTTCAGCGTTTTTATGACTCCATGTCGCGATCATTCTCGCTTTTTTAAGCGGACAGATTTAGTACTCGCCATGTGCGTGATATTTACTGCGCTGGCGGCACTAACTCGTATTTCGCCCACTTTTACAGGAAAATACTGGCTTTTTCTTACAAAAAAGAAGTAGCTTTTACTTTTACTAGGGTATAGATGCTTTGTATATGGCATTGGTGTTGGTTTTTTGAAATCATAACTTGAAATGTGTTTACCACTAAAATAATTCACCGATTAAGGAAAACTAAATAAGTGCTGAATAAACTCATACGTATTATAATAAAAGTGGACTTTAATACTATAATGGGTGATATTATTCTTGATTGCTAGACTCAATCCGTCGTCTAAGCTGTAGTAACAGATATATATCATTTGAATCATTTTTTTTTATTTATTTTCACGGGTAAACAAACAGTGATACGATTTACATTGAACTTACAAAGTCAAACAGATGAGATATAATTGCACACCAACACCGTTCACCACATCATGATCAAAACATAACCAGCTTAAAAGTGGTCGCACGTAAGTTTTCTCAAATCCATAGCAGAGCATTTAACTATAATTAAAAATCT